GGAACTGTCACACGTCAAGACAACGCTGCCTGGGGCAGAGGACAGAAGCCTTACTCTGCCCCAGCACAACTTGACAAAGGACAGATGACAGTGTAAACAGTATAAGGTCACCTACCTGGCACAAGACTGTCAAATCATCTCATCTCCACTTGGGAGTTGCATTCAGAATTCTGAAACCACTCCCCTGAAAGACATTGTCTTAGAGGAGCTTATGGCTGCAGCTTCTGCTCCTCAGGAGGCAGAGGTATAAGGATGGGAATTTCAAGGGGTGTCTGCTCTACATATGGAGTCCAATCCAGTCTGGGTATCTGAATAATGCAAAGGGCTGGGGTATAACCCAGTGGTAGAGTGCTTGCAGACCAGGCATATGGCCCTAGGTTCAATTCCCAGTACCAATAATAAAAAATAATTAAAAAAAAAAAAAGAGAGACATTGTCTTAGCTGGGTATGGTGGCACCTGTGATCCCAATCCTGGGGGAGCTGAGGCAAGAGGATAATGAGCTGGAGGCTAGCCGGGACTACTTAGTGAGATCTCCTCTCCAAATAAACCTAAATAAAGGCATCAGTGGCTGCAGATAGGTATCTATATGACGCCTAGAGAATGGCACACAGCTCGTCAACATTCCCAGGAAAAGACACGGGAAGAAGGGCTAGCTAGGTAAGAGTGGAGGTGTGATGTGGGCAGGGCTCCAGCTGGGTCGTGAGTATGCGGTGGGCACTTCCTGCCCCTCCAGGCATATGAACCGACATGTAAAGCTTGAGCCATCCCTACCTGCTCCCCATCAGTAACAGTAACAGGATGGTAACCGTCGCTGTCTCATGGAGCTGCTGTGAGTTCGGCGAGATGTAAAGTTGGCACCCCAGACTTTACACCCCATCGATATTCCTTCCCTTCTCTGCAGCCCATCTGCCCCCATCTTTGCAGAGGATCGGACAAGGGTTCTCAGTGGGGGTGTTCCTAACACCCCTGCTCCTGGGGTCTTTCCTTCAGCATCCCCTCCCTTCTCTCTGGGGGAACTTGGGAATGTTCCTGGGAGGCCGGGGCAGTGGCCTGACTCTGGCAGACCTGGGCAGCACAGGGTCGGGGTGAGGAGCAACCCAACTTCTCCCTCTCTGTTCCCAGCAACATGCCACTGCTCTGCAGATAGAATGGCCTCCTGAGGTGCCCGGGGGATGTGTGGGGAATCTGGAAACTGCTCTCCCTCACAGACTGTGTGGGCAGCACATTTGAATAATTTCTGTAAACCTAAAGTTCAAGCTTGTTCCACTTCTTTCCCCAAAGGCTCACAGCATCCAACAGGGAGAGCTTGGCCAGCTGTGAGGCTCTTCTGGTGTACACACACACACATGTACACACACACACGTGTGTACACACACACACACACACACACACACACACACACATACACACACAGGTAGGTGGTCTCCAAAAGCACTTCAGGGACCCTTGGAAGACCAGAGCCCAGGGTCTTCCATGAAAATGCAGGAGGTGCTCTAGCTAGCCAGACCTCAGTCTCAATTTTTCTCTTCACCAGAATGGCACAGTCTGAATGTCCGTGTCTTGGGGCATCAGGATTTAAAGGAGCATGACTCCCATAGGCTGGGCGAGCTGCAAAACCATCTGCTTGAGGTTTGGGAGTCCAGTGAAGGTCAAAAGTAAGAAATGACAATCAGAGCGGCTTACCCTAAGAACAGGTATGTCCTTGGGAGGGAGGACAGAGATGGACTGCAGAGACCTAAGACTAGACCAACCTGCCTCAGCCCAAGTGGCCTCAGGTCTAATAATCAATAGGGACAACAGGACCTGGCAGGACAGAGCCCATTTTAATCCCTGGTCATTGTTTTTGAATGATGTATACAGATAGGGAATAATATGCAGGAAAACGTCATTCCAGTGTGGTTTCAGCTGAGTTCAGGATTTTTGGTTTTACCACTGTACCACAGGTGTCTTATCCTGCCTTCCCCAGTGTGCTAAATGCCCAGGCATGTGTATGCTCACACACACACACACACACACACACACACACACACACACACACACACACACCTTGCATAACCACTCTAGACTTCATCGGAATGACAGCTTTGTTCCCAGAGGGCTTTAAGACAGGGTAGACACACCTGTCTTGTTGACCCTGGCAATCATCGAATTAGAACCCCACCCCTGCATTCGGCGGTAGTCCCAACACTTACCACACACAAGAGTCTGTTCTCTCTCTCCCTCTCCCTCTCCAGATTGATGCATTGCCATGGCAACAAAGCCATCCCACAGAGCCTGAGTAAATGGGAAGGTGTCCCTTAGCAACAAGCCTGGAGCAGGGGTTGGTGAGGATGCTGGTGAGGCTGCTGGGGCAGGCAGGCCACCGAGAGGCTCTCCTGGCAAGGTCCAAAGGAACAGTTCTTGGAGCTGGGTCTGGGGCTTGCTCCTTCCTGGGATGGGGTTGAAGGCTCGTCCCTCTGTTTCAGCACGTACTCCGAGCATACAGTCACTTCCCAACTCATTGATGGGGATGGGAGCGATAGACTTCCTTCTCGGAAAAACCTTTAAAAAGTTGAAACTTTTGGGTACGAGAGTTGATTGACTGCTACAAAGACCTACGCCAAACCCTAAAACTCATCATGTTAAGTTTATCGTAGAGTGGCCTCAAGTCCGGGTGAAAAACATCTGCTCGGTTGTCTACCCTGTGAAGAAGCCGGGTATTGGTTTCAGATGTGGTCAGGCAGACTGGGAGAACATCCTGGTGGAAACCTGTGGACCTGTCCAGGAGAGTATTGGATGGGCTGGGAGCTGGGAGCTGGAGACTGCTTGCTGCCTGGGGAGGCTGACCCCGCTGGCTGCGCTTGGAAACTGACCCTCACTTTGACCTCTTACAACTCCTGCTTCAGCTGGCCACCGGAGGCTGTGACTAAAAATAGAGCTCTGACAGTGAGTTCCTCTGCCCAGTAGCTTCCAGTGGTGGCTGGGGGTCACCCAGTGTGTCTTTGGAACCTGATGATCCCCCCCTTCCTAAAATCAAACCCATGTATGGACCACAGCCTTTTCATGTTTAGGGGCTGTGGACCTCTTCAAGCAAGGGGCTTTGTCATAGAGGCGTGACATAGAGGCAGGTCCTTTGTGACCTGGCCATGCCTTCCTCATGCTCACCTTGACTCTCTCCCTCTTAGGCTGTGTACCCAGTTACATCAAATTACGTTCATTTCTCTTTTATTCAACTCTACTTATCGCTCTCAAGCTTCCCACGCATTCCTGCCCACGAGAGAGGCTTTCTCCTTCACCTCTGGCTTAGTAAACTCCTATTCATCCTTCAAAACCCAGCTCAGTTACTGTGTCCCCGACACACATGGTCTCTGATGCTGTGTAGACAGGCTTGGTCACTCCTCATCCCGAAGCACTTGTATTCTACATAGAGTGCTCGTTGCGTATCTTCCAGGCACGGGGTCTCCACGTCTATTTTACTGGCTCGTGAGCTGCTCAAGACCAGAGACTCTGTCTTTCCCCAGTATCCAGCACAGAACAAACAGGGATTCTCCAGGGTCTGGAAAACCAAGATGGTGGAACTGAAGAACAGGAGCTAACTGGAGAAGAGGGGGAGCAAATGAGAAGGTAGGACCGGAGCCGGGAGGAGGGGAAGTAGTGAGGGGAGTCCCGAGGCGCCGGAGATCCGGGCTGTTAACGACCCCAAGGCAGCATTGAACTTGACAACCTGGAAGCTTTGGGGAGCCGGCCTGCTGTCTTGGTTTGCCCAGGACTTGCCCAGTCCTGGCGTGAAATGGGCCTGATCACCTGACTGGTGACCTCTTCCAGGGCAGGTCTGGAGTCAGGAGCAGGCCAGGAGCCTGGGTGCTAGTCCAAGCGGTGAATGGAGGGGGGGGGGGCCAGGCTGGGGAGACTGTGGATGCTAAGCCACTGCACCTAAAGGAGGAGGGGCCTGACGTTGTGCCAGCCTCCCGGGCCATCCCCTGCCTTCTTCCCTGCCGAGAAAGCAAACAAAGTCACTGGCAGGACATCCTGTTCACACCTCATGGCTTCCTCCTTAACGCCAGGCCCCCAGCCCACTACCTGGGTCACTCAGCTCGTCCTGCCGGGCGCTGCCCTAGTCTCCAGAGGATAAGCAGTCTTGCGTCTCCTGACATGCTGGGCGGGCATCTGGGGGCTCTGTTCAGTTGGCACCATGGTTCCTGCTTGGATTAAGGCAGCTCTTCTCCGTAGAAGGTGTTGTCTGAAGTCTCACTTGGGGGCTGGAGTGTGGCTCAGCAGCAGAGCACTTTCCTGCCATGCTGAAGGCTTTGAGCTCCATCTGTCCCTAGACCTCCGCAAGCACACACACCTTGCCTTGTATAGATGACCCAGCCTGGAGACGGGGATGGGCCTCCCCGCTTCCCTCTCCCCCACCCCCTGTCCTCTTCTCTTAGTAGGCACTGAGTGCTGCTTGTTTCAGCGGTCAGCACTTCCCCAGCCTCCTGACCCCCCAAGGGAAGGGCATGTTACACCCCTGAGTTGCAGGAGGGCTCCAGATGTGACTTCCTCCACAAACAGTTTATAAACCCATCCTGGAGACTATGAGAGAGGGGCATGTGAAATACAGGGACAGGGGACTTGTTCATCTAAAGAGAGAGTCTCCGCACATTAGCATGCTCGAGCAGTCCTCCTGCTGGGTTCCGGTCTATCTATGTGATGAATCGCTACGTTGTGCCTCAGTCTCTTAGTCTGTAGAATGGGGGAGAATAGTGCCCTTCTTACAGGGTCATATGATAGTGGATGGAACGTGTGACTCGGTGTGGTTCTTGGAGTATGTAAGGCCCTGGCCTCTGAGCCGAACTGCCGCCATTTCCCTGAGATCCGCTGTACCTGGGGACCACCGACAGGTGGGGAGGGTCATAACCACTCCTCTCAGCCAATCACGTGTAGCCTTGGGGTCTCAGGTAGGGACTTAGGCTGGAAAGATTGGGGGACTAGGGTTCGTCTATGCAGCTACGGGGAAACATCATCCGTGCTGGGGGCAGACCTTCTAGTCAGCTGCTTTAGTCGCCTGTGCTCCTGACAGGAAGCCCTCACCAGGGCTCTCTACAAGTGAACCCGATAAACTCATTGGCTGAACTGTGGTGGAACTGAGCTTTGGTTTGTCATTAGGAGGAGGGAGCAGGTGTCGTTAACACTTCCCCCCAGGGAAGGAATTTTAGCTTTTAGTGACAGCCTAATGAGCTGAATCTTCAGCTGTTGTCAGTTTGCAGAGAGAAAGTTTTTGTGGGGGTCTCAGAAGGTTCTAAGATCCCCCCCCCAGTAGGTGACAGACACCCCCCACGTACAATGTGGCAGCTTCTGGGGCAGGTGCTGATGAGGACTTGTCTGAGGTGCAGTGGAAGACCTTGAAGTTCCTTTCTGCGTCATCCTGTGCCAAACAGGACACTGCTCTGAACAGCCGCTCAGAATAAAAGGCCACTGGGACTCACCCCCTCCCCCAGTGCCACTGAGAAGCGTGCCATGTTGCAACACGTTGGAGAAAGACCAGAACTCAACCCCTACCCCTTCGTTGAGTCAGAAAAAGCCAGAGAGGCTTTTGCGGTGATGGAGTTAAAGGCACTCACCACCACTGTAATCAGGTCCCTAAATTACAGAGCCCACCTGCCAGCTGCCTGGTACCATCTCATTAGCCGGGTGCTGGGAGAAGGTGCCATATGCCCTAAGGGAGCACCTGACCGCCAAGTTCCTGCTCCATAATTAAACTTAAAATCCCCGACCTCACCCACACCTAACCCCTTCTCAGGAAACAACAAAGTTGAGGCCATCCGCCTCCCCTGCTCCAGGAAAAAGAAAGTCGAGGTGTGAATTAGGAGCTTCCAGCCTGGCCCTCCCCCCTCCCATGACTATGGGATTGAGGGAGACTTGGGGAGGTCATGTAGAACAGGAGTGAGCCCTACGTCTTGCCACACGGATACCCAGAACCCAGCCAAAGGCAGCAGGACATATTCATATACACATACACTCATGTACACATTACCTAAAAACACAAGTGCAATTGCATGTATCCCCCATCATACACAGAGAGTGCGCACGCGCGCGCGCGCACACACACACACACACACACACACACACACACACACACAACATAAAAGTAAATTTTAAAGGGGAAGAGCAGGGGCAGGAGTAATCCTGCCTCGAGGTTTGTCCTAGAACAGTTAAGCACACCCACACACAACCTCACCCCGCCCCCCACACTCCAGTGAAGGATGTGTGGATGCCAGGTGACTGACAGAGTCAGTTGAGATACTCTCAGGGTCTTCTAGGCAGAGCTGTGTGAGCTGTGTCTGGCTGACAGACACACAGAGCGTCTCGGCATGCGGGTAGAAGTGTGGGAGGAGAAATGGATTCACAGGCGAGTGTCCCTCCCTGAAGAGGCTTCTCTAGAGCCAGAGTGCTGGGCTGACCAGACAGAGGGGAGGTACCAAGTGATCGGCTTGGCTTGCCGTAAGTGCCCTCATGGCTCCAGCCAGCCAGCCAGCTGTGACCACCAGCCAGAGAAGAGAGGAATGGACAACCCCAGCTTCTAAATCCTCTGCAGATACTGCTGCCCAGAGAGAGGGTAGGGGCTGGAGGACAAGAGGGAGGTCATTGGCCTGGGCCTGGAGAGGACGCACCTCTTCCCCATCCTTACCCCAGAATTCTCTGGTCCCATTTGAGCCTTCTGGTTTTGCATGAGGCCAAGTTGCATGGGCTAGCTCGGGATTTGGTGGGAAGAACAGAGCTATAAAGAAAACTGTCCAGCCTAAGGGAGAAGGTGAGTTTACTGGACAGACAGGATCAGGGCTTCCAGGCCTCTGCAGCAGAGATAACAGTTGTGGCTTCGGCTGGCGCTTTATATTAAAGCCAAGTGCTTGATTGCACTCAGCTCCCAGACAGAGCCCAAGAACTCGCCTCTGCTGTTAACAGCCAGGAAATGTCCAGAACCTTCCCTGGTCCTGCCACTCCCCAAGGTGAGTCTGGCTCTGATTGGCACCGTGCCAATACTGATTTTGCCCTCCATCCCCCCTTCCACCCCCCCAATGTGGGGATGCAGAGGTGAATGAAGACAGCCTTGTGGTCGGTCATGAGTCATGGCCTCTGAGGGTAAGCACAACCCAGAGAAATGCCTAGGCAGGCTGTGCCCCCTTACCACTTGATCAAGGTCCCAGCTCTTAGACAGGGACTGGGCCAGGCCTGACATGTCCCGAGGGCCCGGGGGAACGCTACTGTCCGAGGCCCGGCACTAGACCTGGGGACGGCAGGGTGTCCTTTGCAGTCACATCAGGTGAGCCCAGCCCTGGGAAGATTGTAGTCTGCAGTTGTTTGCTTCCCTAATTTCCTCTCTGGCCAGCTTCCCCTTTTCCTGCAGCCTCGGAGCCCCTGGGGCCCCAGCGTAGCCAGGTGTGGCTTGAGTGATCAATCGTGGGGCCTGGTAGAACAGGGAAGGGCGAGCAGACGTCAGCATCAGGAGTCACTGTGGACAGGCACAGGACACTGAAGAGTGAGGAAGAGGAAGGGGCGTAGCTTTATATCTGGTTTCCTCCCAGACAAGCCCTGTGACCCGAGTACTGTGAGCCCCGAGAGTCTCCCAGGAACACAACCTGCCTATGTGGTATGACAGACCGGCCCACTGGCACCCGTCTGAGTGATCAGCTTGGTCCAGGGGACCTTATACCTGAATGATTCAGGCACGTCTGAATGTGCGGTCACTGACAGGTGAATGCTCAGGTGACCAAACAGTGGTGGCGTGACCAGGTACAATACCTAAAATACCAGGCCGTCCTGAGTCGGACAGGTGCCAAATGGACTGGCAAGAAACTACCCCCTCCAGAGGCCTGCATTCCAAGTGCCCAGCCCAGCCTCGCAAGTTGGTGGCAACAGACAGAGGCTCACGTAGCCAGGGGAAGGAAGGAATTTGTGGTTTGCGCTTCCCTAGAGCTACTGTTGGCCCCAGGGAGCCTGCCAACAGCTCCCGTGGACACAGCTATCTCGGAGCATTTCTTCCCAGGATCCCTGCCACGCACGGGCCATGACTGACTGCTCTTAATTAAACAACTGGTAGATGGATTTAATCTAATATTTACTCCTGGAGAGAGAAAGAAGGAACACGCGTCATCCAGGCAGCCTGGAGGTCAGTGGGCCAGGCTTCTCTCTGGAGTACCAGAAGGTTCTCAGACCTGAGGTTTCCTTCTACCTCCCCTTTGTCTTCTCTTCCTGGAGGGGATCTTTGTCCTTGAGAGGAGTGAAAGCTGAGAGGATGAGGGATATCCAGGCAGCACTCAGCAGAAACACAAACTGCCCTCTTGAGACCAAAGGCACCCGGAACTGTCCTGACCAGGTACCAGATGGAAGCTTCCAGAAAGGGAGGCACCCCACAGGAGAGGGCTGGACTCGCTTCCCTGAGAGGAGGCAAGGGGCAAGCCAGGGACCTGGGCGAGACCTTTGTTGTGTGATGGAATAAACGGGGACCTTCCGCGAGCACAAGCTGGCAGCCTTGTGCTCCAGCTGCCTCCTCACAAGGGAAGACTGTGGTAAGAACCCAGCAAAGGCTGATTTCCCCCACAGTTGACATTTCCTTTTATTTCCCCCTGGTGTGAGTGCAGTAAGCAGCCCTGGAAATCCAGGAGACACTGGTAGCTGTTAAGGAGTGGCAGCTGAGAACCCCCTGGCCAGTGCACCTGGAGGAGAAGCCGGGCAGATAGAGAACAGATCTTTGGGGCTTCAGAGGAGGGCTGGGCAGCGCAGACTCAAAGACGAGCCCGAGTGATGCCCTGGAGAGGAGCACGTGGCAGTTAAGTAGCGGGTCACATTTAACCCGAGGGTTAGACAAGTGCTATGATTTCCTTTTAGGGATGTGAGGGGGGGGGGGGCTAGCAGAGGTGAGCGACTTTCTCAGTCACTCATTTCATGCGGATGTGTCTATCCAGAGCAGGTGTGCTTTTCGTCTATGGCTGAAGGGAGGTCCCCTGCAAGGCAGTCTGGGGCAGGTCCAACTCCAGGATGTGTGTGGTGGATCTCTGCCACACATCAGAGTGCAGCTCCAACCCCACTGAGACTCTGTGAGTCATAGACCATAGAGCCACTGGAGAAAGAAATGTTCTCTGAGCACAGAAGAGTCTGGCTTAGATACTGTCAGGATGGCCTGTGGCCTTGGGCACTGGGTTGACTCCCTAAATTTTGCTTCCCATAAAGAAAACGTGGTCTGACTCCTTCTAGGGTCATTTGAAAGTTAAGTGAAATATTGTTTATAAAACGTCTAGCATGGGCTGGGGGCAGGTCCATTGCTGTGCAATCTTGAGAACCTGAGTTTGAAACCCTGCTGTCGCATTAAAAGGCCATTGTGGCTGTGCACACACATGCCTCTGACCCTAGTTCTCGGGGTGTGGCGGGGCAGAGACAGGGATCCCTTGGTATTCTGGCTAGCTCCAGAGAGACCCTGTCTCAAAGGAATAAGGTGGAGGGTAATAGAGGAGGACACTCAACACACACACACACACACACACACACACACACACACACACACACACACACACACACACACACCACATTGTAGATTGCTTAAGAAATGGTAATTCTTGCCAGGAGGTGGTGGTACACCTTTTATCCCAGCCTTTAGGAGGCAGAGGCAGGAGATCCCTGAGTTCAAGGTCAGCCTGGTCTACATCATGAGTTCCAGGACAGCCAAGACTACACAGAGAAATCCTGTCTCAAAAAAACAAAAACAAAAAACCAAAAATGACAAAAAAGAAGTAATTCTCAGAGCGGGAGAGATGGCTCAGTAGGCAAGAGCACTTGAATTTCTTGAAGAGGACCCAGGTTCAGTTCCCAGTACCTTCATGGCAGCTCACAGCTTTTTCAACCTCAATTCCAGGGGATTCAATGCCCTCTTCTGGCCTCTTCAGATACCAGACACACATGTGATGCATGTACATGCATGTAGGCAAACATTCATACACATACAATAAAAATAAATAAAATCTTTAAAGAGAAAAGAAAGAGTCCTTAGCCTCAGAGTATGTGACTCATCCTGCAGTCACCTGGACCCTGAACCCTGAATCAGCAGGGTCCCTCAGCGGTCCCATGCCTGGCTGAGTGGCCTGTTGCTGACTCCATGACAGTCTCTACAGTGCCCAGGCTGGCCTTGAACTTTTAATCTTCCTTGACTCAGCCTCTGGAGTTATGAAATTGCAGGGATGTAACCACCACACCTGGCTAAATTATTTTTTGTTTTTGTTGTTTCTGAGACAGGGTTTCTTTGTGTAGCCCTGGCTGGCCTAGAACTTGTTATGTAGACTCAGCTGGCATGAAACTCAGAGAGATCTGATGGCTTCTACCTGCAGAGTGTTGGGATTAAAAACTAAAGATGTGCTCACCACCTCCAGCTTTCTGATTAAATTCTCTCCCCCTTCCCCGAGACAGGGTTTCTCTGTGTAACAGTCCTAGCTGCCCCAGAACTCACTCTGTGGACCAGGCTGGCCTCAAACTCACAGAGATTCACCTGCCTCTGCCTTCCAAGTGCTGGGATCAAAGGCGTGCGCCACCACTGCCTAGGCTGATTAAATTCTTAATACCACTGAACAAAGGACCCTGCATTTTTTTTTTCATTTTCCTGTGGGTCTCCCAGATGATCTAGCTCATCCTGGATCTCACTTTGGGTTCAGCTCCCTGAACCCAGAAGGATTATGGTACCCAGCTCAAAACCAAGGTGCCATCTCTCCCTCCCATGATGCCCCAGGTGCAGGCAGTATCCCTCTGCCCCTCCCCAGTGTACTCTGTCACTTACACGAAATCGAAGCTCGGCAGAATTGCATCTCTCCTTGGCCTTCTGGACCCTGCAGAAGGATGCTTCCGAGGAGAGGGACTTCACCCAGAGCTTGAGCCCTGGTACCCGGCCATCAAGGGACATTCCCCAGGTGCCACCAGCTCAATTAAGGATCAAGTGCCTTTCAGAGTGAGGAGCCTGCTGTTCCCAGGGTGTTGTGGCCCACTCGGCACCAGCTGGGCCAAGGGCTGCAGGAACAGCAGACAGAGCCAAAGCACAAGGTCAGGAGCCAGGCTGCAGGCCTGCAGGAGGCTAGCCCACTGCCTTTCTGGGCTTACTCTGCTCCAGGCCTCTGACCTCCTGTGTTGCCCCTTAGTTGTTTTTAGATTTCTGCTCCCAGGGGTCCTTGCAGTTGCTAATTCGGCAGTCTGAGCCTCCTGATTTCTGAGAAGCAATACTGCCTGGAAGAGGGGAGAAGGGAGGTGTACCTAGAGGCTGGGGACTGGGCTACTTTCCTTTTTTAACCCATTTCCAGCTCTAGGGGACACTGGAGTGCCAGCTTTCACTTTTCACAGTGCTCCCCACTGTGTGGGCTGAGAAAGGAGACTCCACCAGGCCTAGGGGCAGGAATCTCAGTACTTCCACATAGGGAATTCTCCTCGAGCAGGAAGTCACTGCTCTTGGATCTAAATCCTGCCCTCCTCCAGCTCTGTGTGTTAGCGCATGTCTGATGCTGTGCACTTGGAGATTCACAGAACAGGAAGGAGTCTGGGCGAAGAACATCCCTAAGGGTCCAAAAACAGATCGTGATGCTGGGAGAGGGTGCTGGTGGAGGGAGAGCTGGCCCCAGACCGGTAGCTGGCTCTTCCCACCGTGCCATCCAAATCCTGAGGCTCCTGGGGCAGTACGGTGAGGCTGCTTCTGCCCGTGGCTTAGGTGAGTCCCAGGCTTAGATTTCTGGGGGGCCTCCTCTTGGAAAGGAGGGACCTGAGGGCTCCCTTTCAGGAATGATCTTGAAGATAACCATCATATGGTGGACCTGATGGTACGAGCCTGTAACCCCAGCAACTCAGGATGCTGAGGCAGAAAGATTACAAGTTCAAGGCCTGCCTGGGCTACAGAATGAGTTCCAGTTCAGTTTGGGTAACTGAGTGAGATTTTCTCAAAAGTCTCAAAATAAAATTGAAAATAAAAAAGTAAATAACCATAGTAATTGTTATTAAATGTCTCTAAACATTCTCCAAGTCCCAAACACTTCCACGTACATCCTGCACTCACCCAATTCCATGAAATAATGCCATCAGTATTGTCTATGTATGTACTCAATCATTGCTTGTATTATCATACATCCATACATATTTTTAAGTTTTATTTCTTAGGGCTGGAATTACAGATGGTTGTGAGCTACCATGTGGGTGTTTGAAATTGATTCTGGGTCATCTGGAAGAGCAGCCAGTGCTCTTAATTATGGAGTCATCTCCTCAGCCCCAGAGTGTGGATTTTTTTTTCCCCCGAGACAGGGTTTCTCTGTGTAGCTTTGCGCCTTTCCTGGAACTCGCTTTGTAGACCAGGCTGGCCTCGAACTCACAGAGATCCGCCTGCCTCTGCCTCCCGAGTGCTGGGATTAAAGGCGTGTGCCACCACTGCCCGGCTTAAGTTTTCTTTATTTCAGACAAGGTCTCAATATGTAGCTCAAGCTGACCTATAAACTCAAAATCCTCCTGCCTCAACCTCATGTTCCACTATGTCTGAATCTTTGTCTCTAAGAGGAGACTGAAACATGGACAATGGCCACACAGCCCCATCCAGCTGGGATTTGGGGGCAGGCAACCTCGGGGTGTAGCCCACTCTCCCCAGCTCTGCTCCGGTGATGGCGGCTTTGAGTTCCTCTTGTCCATGTATCCATTGCGCCTATCCAGTAGGTTTTTAGTTGAAAAGCCCCAGGAGAACCACTCAGATTCAGGGTCCCGCTTTCTTGCCTGTGGATCACAATCCCCCAACACAGGAGGTAAATCTAACATCCCTTCCCAGTCTCCAAGTACCCTCCTCGGTGACCTCTGCTGCCACCTGCTGGCCTACTGATCTTGGGGTGTTTTAGAGTTCTTTTTCTCTAAGTGACATCATCCTTTCCCCATAGCTGTGGGACCGTTTCCGGTGTCTATGGGCCTTTTGACCCTTAGACTCCCAAGCCGCCTTCTCTTCTGAGATCCAGGTTGGTATCCCCATGCAAAAGGCTCTAACCCTCCAGCACCCCATAATTCCTCACCAAGTAACACGCCCCTGAGTGTAAAGCAGGCCGAGGGACTGTGTAGTCACTGCACCAGGAGTCCCCAGAGGGAAGTGACCCAGACCCTGTGCGGACTCGCGGCCAGGCAGGGTTTAGATCCAAATCGGAGAGGTGATAAAACGGTTGCTTTCTCTAGCACGCTGTGTGACCCACGGACCCCTGAACCACACAGCGATGGAAATGTGAGCCCAAGCTTTCTGCAGTGGTTGGATGCAGGCTCTCGGCTGGGGTGTGGCCTGAAGGGGTGCTTGAGGGGGTTCCCAATCAGTGGAAACTGGAAATAAATGGGTCCCATGAAGAGAAGACGGAGTGGGAGCAGGACCGTGGAGGGGTTCTGGTGAGGGGGATGGGGAAAGAAATGGAACAATGGGAAGGGCCTAAGAAGGAGCCGTGAGACCAGAGCAGAACCAGAATGAATATGGGGGAGACTCCCACATCTTAGAGCAAAGGTTGGGGGTTACAGCTTGCGGCCTGTTTTTGTACACCTGCAAGCTAAGAGTGGTTGCTCTTTTTCTTTGAATGCTAAGGATTGCACCCAAGGCCTTGGGCAAGACTTTTCATTTTTAAAATGCTTGAAAAAGATACAAGAGATTTTTTTTTTTTTGGTAATGAATAAAAATAGTATGGGGCTCCAAGGTTCAATGTCTGTAAATAAAGTTTTATTGACACATAGCCATGCTGTTAGTTAGCCTTTGTCCTTGACTGCTTCCTGTGAGCAGAGGTGGGTAGTTGCAACGCAGGCCTCCTCACAGTCTTAAAGCATTTATTATTTGGCCCTTTCCCGAAAAGCTTGTAGTACTATACCCTAGAAGGAAAGGGCGGTGGGCCTTGGAGAAGAGCCATGGGAAAGAAGGGGGACCTTAGGCTTCTGATGGAGGTGGAGGGCACAGGGGCAGTGCATAGGCTGGGTTCCCCACAGGCCTTTCTAGCTTCGGCCACAATAAAAATTTTCCTGTAATCATGAACCTGGGTCTTCCCGGGCCTGTTTCCCACAGCTTGCTCCACCACTAGGAAGGCAGTTTTAGACCTCTAAGCCTGAAGATCCCTGTCTGTACTACGGGACGACAGTGCCGACCTTGAAGGCTTGTTGCAACTTCTGTAAGATACCAGCTCTCTTGGGCCTTGGCGGTGTTACCATCAACTGACAAGGTTGTGAGGTGTATTCACTTCCCAACTCGTCCACTAGAGGGCAGGAAGGCCCTGCTGGCTGCTCGGAGGTCTGCAAGGTGCCCAGCCTGGGGAGAAATGCCCTCCCCTGCTGTTTACCACCGTGCCCTTTGATCCGCTCCCGCTCTCTCACAGCCTGCCAAGGACCAGGCTAATGCAGAGAGCTTCCCGCTGGGGCCGGCTGGGCTTCATTCTTGCCCTTTCTCGGTTTCTACCTCGCAGAACAGACTGAGGTGAGGCCTCCAGGTAAATGCTCCCTGCACAGGTCTGCTTGCAATTTGCAAAGCCTTTTCTTCCTTCACTTTGCAGGAGCCTCCAGTGGCCCTGGGATTCCGCAGGGCAGGTGACATAATACTTTCACTGGGGCGAGGGAAATGGAGTTCGGAGAGACTGAGTGACTTGCTCACACCTGTGAGCTGGAGACTAGGGTGTGGGGGCTCAGAGCTGGGGTAGTGATGCCATGCAGAAGGCTGTGCTTACTGACCACAGTTTCCAAGGAGACTGTCTCCATCTTCCAAAGCTTCTCTTTGTGCCCCTGCTCCCACATTGGGAGGAAAGCTGGTAAAACTTCCCAACGTCCCCCTCTACACCCACCCAAAGGTGCTTTCAGACGTGAGTTCATTTCCACAGACTTGGGCTCCCCTGGGGTTAGTGAATAGGAGTGGTTTTCCAGGAGAAGTTGAGAACACACACATTCACACACTCATATATTCTCTCTCTCTCTTACACACACACACACACACAGAGTCAAAGGTCAGACAGAAACAAAGAAGCCATGGGCTGAAGTGGTCAGGGGAGGTGGCCTGGGCAGGGAGTTGTCTATCTCAGACAGGAGGATGTGTCACATTTACAAGTGTCTTCGGGCACAAAGGACATGTTCCTCTCATGTCCATGTTGCTCACACCCAACAGGACATGTCCATGTTGCTCACACCCAACACCAGGACAGTTCAGCATCTGTCTGCTTCCATTCCCTTCTGCAGAGAATGACCTGCCTCCCTCCCACCGGCCCGCCCTTGTGGGCAGGCATGTGGGGCAGCTGGAGACATGCTGGGTGAAGGAGACTGGCAGTTCCAGAGGCGGTAGGCACTCTGCCCTCAACATGGCATGCAAGCTGCTCCAAGGAACGAGACCTTCTAAGCAGGTCGGCCTTTCAGTCTAAGAGACTGTGGCTGCCGGCAACGTTCCTGCATCGAGGGGCTTCCCCACATGCAGACGCCCGCCCTGGCATGACCTGACCGGTAGGGAAAGTAGACAGAATAGCTCCAGGAACCAACTGCTTTTGCTTAAAGTATTCCGGAAACATCTCACTGAGCCCTCCACCAAGGGTGCCCCTGCAGAACTGTGCTCCAGGACCCATGGGTTCCCGGCCCCACGGGAGTGTGAGCCAGGCTGGGTCAGGAAAGTCTAGGCTATCTGTTCTCAGAGAAAGTCCCTCCTAGTCCAAAGTGCTGCCTGTCCCCCCCCCCCCATATTCTCAGCCTCCCCTACCCAAGCACAGACATGGGAATGCCCTCCAGGACTTCTCAGTGGGTCACCTTGCAGATTGCCACAGAGTCTCCTTCAGTTTGGTACAGGTTCACTTCTGGGGTTAGAGTCACACACCATGACCTTGTCACGGGGAAGGAGGTCACATCCCGGTGTCAGGAAAAACCTTGGGACACTCCATCCCACCTTCTGAAGAGCTCAGGGGCTGGCAGGAGCTGTCTTGCCCCTCCAGAGGAGGCACATACGGTAGGAGGAGGGACCCTGGATGAACAAAGGGTCTGGGGGATCCAGGCTTCTTTAAGAAACAGTGAGGGAGCAGGGGACCTGGGGGGAAAATGGGACAGGGAGGGAGGTGCAGGGGACCATGAGGCTGCATCTCCACCTGGGTGTCCCACAGGGACCTCCCAGGTAAGCGTGTCCCAGCCTGAACCCAGCGACCTCCAGAAGGCCTCTCTGTTCCTGCAGCCTGGCTGCCTGCTGGCACACACACACACACACTCTCCCCTCAAGCACCCTGCCAGAAGCAGGCAGATCCCCCTCACACCTCCCTCTTCCCAGCTTGGCACTCCTGCCAGCTCCACAGTTTGCCAAGTTTACCTCTCAGCTTTCTCAAATCCACCCCTGGCTCCTCCAGCAGCTCCTTTGCCTTCTTCCTGCCTGCCTGCAATGGCCTCCCGCCTCCCTCCCCACCTGCAATGGCCTCCCGCCTCCCTCCCCACCTGCAATGGCCTCCCGCCTCCCTCCCCACCGGCAATGGCCTCCCACCTCCCTCCCCACCTGCAATGGCTTCCCGCCTCCCTCCCCACCTGCAATGGCCTCCGGCCTCCCTCCCCACCGGCTCCTGTCCCTGGGGGATGGCGGGAGGTTCCTCTCCGCACTGCTAAAGGAATGGCCTTCACCTTCTGCCGGCCTCAGTAGCACAGTGTGGGATTAGAGGCTAACGCCAGATATCCTAGGTTCAAATCCACCCTGCGGGTTTACGGCTGGGCAAGCCTACTTTATATCTAGGGAAAGCGAGAGTCTCGCTGTCACCATTCCTCATCCGGGAAATCAGAACTTAACAAAATAGGTCTCAGACCCGCCCTGAGGAGTAATGGGCTTCTCTGCGTGTGAGTTCCTAGCTCCGCCCATTTCCTCTCCTGCTCCTCCTCTGTTTAATACTCAGCCCTCTTCTTCCTCCTCCCCTTTCCCCCCTCCCCTCCACCCCCTGTCATACCTACCTCAGTGGACCTGCATGTTCTGTCTCCTCTTTTCCTGCTCATTTTTCTTTTTTCTTTTTTCTTTTCTTTTTCTTTTTTTTTTTTTTTTTTTTTTTGAGCTGAGGACCGAACCCAGGGCCTTGTGCTTGCTAGGCAAGCGCTCTACCACTGAGCTAAATCCCCAGCCCTTCTGCTCATTTTATACTGCTCTCCCCACCATGCTGCCCCCCCTCCCCTGGCCAGTGGCCACCCCATTCTTCTTGGTCTCCCCTTCAAGACTGAGGGCTGCTGTGGGCAGACCTGGGTCCTCAGAGCTCTCATTCTGGTCTGCGCTGTAGCCATGATGCTCGCAAGTGCTAGGAGATTCTGTGAGCTACAGTCCAGGTATGCCTGCAACATCTGTGCGTTCCCCAGGCTCCATTCCTGCTCTGTTGCCTAGAGCACTGAGGATGCCGTGGGGACCAAGCAGGAGGGGGACTACATCATGGCCTCGGGGATCCACTGGGGACTTCTGAGCAGAGTGGCCAGCAGCGGGATGGGACAAAAGGAAAGGAGAGTGTGGCCAGAGGCTGCGGCTCTGACTTTGCTGGGGCCAGGAGGGGGTCCTGGGATCCACTGGACTGGTCCCACGGTGATGCAAAAGCGTTTTCTGGGCTGGAGTCAGAGCCAGGATCTATTCCAAGGTTCAGCCAGACTGGTACGGAGCCCGGAGACAGGTGATGGCTTTTAGACTGGCTTCCTGTGGGGCTAGGATGCGTCCATTCACGCTTCTTCACCCATCCAATCCATCCTTCAGAGCTTTGTGTATATGTGAATGTATGTGCACATGTGTGGACAGGCGTGCCACAGGCATGTAGGTGCCAGATATCAACTTTGGGTGTCTTTTCCTCCACCCTGGTAGCAAGTCCCCAGGATCCGCCTCTCTCTCTTCCTCATGGCTGAGCCCTCTGAGTGCTAGGAACCCCAGCTCAGGTCCTCACACTTGACCGTGAACACCTCAGTAATGTTTATGTTGTCACTGTCACCATCGCCAGTCGGTCGCCAGTCGTTTCTGGCAGCGGAACCCACTGCCTCTTGCTTGCTGGTCCAGCACTCTCCACTGAGATTCACCCCAGTCTCGCTCACTAACTTGATTGCATCATCGTTTGGGGAGCTGGGCATGGCACTAGATACAAGACACGGGACACTTGATAAGACACATTCAGAGCCTGGCAGTGGTGACACACACCTTTGGTCCCAGCACTCGGGAGGCAGAGGCAGGTGGATCTCTGTGAGTTCGAGGCCAGCCTGGTCTACAAAGCGAGTTCTAGGACAGCTAAAGCTATACAGAGAAACCCTGTCTCAAACAATCAAAATAAATAAATAAATGACGCATTCAGCACTGGCACCCGGCGAGTGTGACGTCCTGAGAGACCAGCATCAGAGAAGGAAGGTACAGTGTGCCCACCACCATCGACATGGTGTGGAGCACGGTGCCTTAATGGGACAGGCTGTCTGCCACTCAGTGGTGATGCCCAGGACAGTCTCTGTAGTCAGCCCTGGGGCAACACGCCTTCCTGACCTGCGGGACTTCAACAGACCCCTCCAGCTCTAGGTGTCCAGAGCCAGGTTTAAGCTGATCAAGGTGTCTGAAAAGTGACACCCAAGCCCAAGTTTCAGCCATCTCCCAGCTGCCCCCACCCCCGTCCCGGGCAGCCGTGACACCTGTCTCCGTGCCTCTTCCCTGTGCTCATCTAGAATAGATCAAACATGTTTAAAATCTTGGCCCTGCAGGGGACAGCCTGGGTTTCAATCCCATTTCAACCCTGTGTTGGCTGTGTGACCTTGGACAAGCCTCCTGCCCTCTCTGAGCTGTGCTTTCAACGATGCCCAGTAGTGCCTGTGTGTGGCTAGCTCTCTGTTTTATGAGGCTTCCCTTGCTTTTGCTACATTGTGTGCTGTGGGACTTGCCTTCCTAGCGTAAGGTTCTGGAGAGGAAGGATAGTTTGACTTCTTTAATAGTCTTGGTACCCCCCGGGAGTGGCAGGGAGCTTCACTCAGAGCAGGCTGGCCAAGAATACTTGTTGAATGACTTCAAATGGTCAGAATGGGGGCTGGGTGAGGACAGAGCACCCCATGCTTTCTGGCATCATGAAACACAGAGAGGTTGCCCACTCTTGGGCCTGGAAGCTCAGCAGACCCCTGAGTGAGCTCAGTAGGGCTCAGCCCCTGCTCTTGGCACACCCCCAGGAGGACGATAGCACCTTCTCATGGGGATTGCGTTCTGAGAACTAGATTTCCTTTTGTCTAATATGAGGCCTCGAGTCCCGAGTTCAATCCTTAGAACCTCCAAACAAACAAACAATAAAGGTAAAATAAGGTAGGGTAGGGGGCTGGAGAGATGGCTCAGCGGTTAAGGAGCACTGACTGCTCTTCCAGAGGTCCTGAGTTCAATTCCCAGCAACCACATAGTGGCTCACTACCATCTGTAATGAGATCTGGTGCCCTCTTCTGTACACATAATAAATAAATAAAAAATAATGTAGGATAAAGGAAGGGGAGGGGTTTCTTGGCTAATGGTCAAGAGAGAACTGGAATGTTTGATTTCAGGTGAAGACTGTCTTTCTGCTCATACCTGCTCCGAAAATGGCCAACACCAACCTCTGTTTTCTCCTGTCAGCCTTTAAACCACGATAGATAGGACCGCTATGCCACAAACAGCCGGAAGTGCCCCCTCGCCCCTCCCCCGCCATCCTGCCGAAGGGACCGAGACTCATAGGAGGGGCTTCTCAGGCCAAAGGACCCACGGAGGAAGCTGAAGGGTGCGCATCCACCTTTCATTCATTTTCAGATTAACTGGTGGTCTATTGCAGAGACTCCACACGTGGTTCTTGACCCCTTTGGGGGTGGAATGACCCTTTCACAGGGGTCACACATCAGATATCCTACGTATTGGATATTTACATTATAATTCATAATGGTAGCAAAATTATAGTCATAAAGTAGCAACAAAAATAATAGTATGGTTGGGGTGGGGTCACCACAACATGAGGGACTGTGTTAAAAAGGGTCGCAGCATTAGGAAGGCTGAGAACCACTGTTTTTGTTTGTTTGGTTGTTTGGTTGATTTTTTTGAGATAAGTTTTCTCCGTGTAACAGCTCTGGATATCCTGGAACTCACTCTGTAAACCAGGCTGGCCTCGAACCCAGGGCCCCACCTGTCACTGCCCCCAGAATGCAGGGATTAAAGGTGTGTGTCACCACAGCCTGGTACCAAACTGCTTTCAAAGCATCTGTGCATTCCCATCAGCCTTGCATGAGGCAGGGCGAGCTGAGGCAAGGTTTCCTTGTTTGGAATTTATTTGGGGTTTTTGTGTTTGAGAAAAGGTCTTACTCTATCTCCCCGGCTGCCCTGAAACTCTCAATCCTCCTGCCTCAGTCTTCCCAGCTCTGGGGTTACAGAGTGCATCACCAGGCCCTTGCTGAGGCCACGCTTTCTTTGTAGAACTTTATTTAAGAAGTGGTCCCAGAGTACAGGTAGAGGCATAAGGAGGGAAGGGAAAGAGCCCCAGCCAGTGAGGGTCAGTGGGTCACGGAAACACCAGGCTACGGAGTGACTCTGAAGCCAGCACGGAGAGCTTACACTTCAGCATTGAGAAGCAATCAGGCCAGGGCACAATGTACCCCCAATTCCAGCAGCCCCGGGCTGGGGACATCTGAGTGCGTATGTTAATTTCTGCTAATTCTCTCTTGCTTGGGGAAGCGGGCTCTGTAAGGGAAGCGGCTCTGCAGGAGAAACCCTCTTGGCAGAGAGGCGTCCCTGTCTGCAGAGGGCCGCAAGCCTGATGCACTGTGGGTAGGCAGCAGGGGCCTCCAGCACCATCAGTGTGGCAGAACCTAAGTTCTTTCCACGTGGGGTTTGCATGCTCCTGAGAGAGTTATAGACAAGCATATGGGCCATATAGTCAGGCAGCGTGGGGCAAAAAATGGGTGTGGGGGTGTGGTGGCACACATCTATAACCCCAGCATTCAGGGGTTCGTGGGTAGGAGAATCAGGAGTTCAAGGCTACTCTTGGTTATACAGGGAATTCCAAGCCAGCTTGGGCTGAGATCAAAGTAAAATACATTTTAAACGATGCTTGCGGGTCAGTATGAAGGCAGAGTGGGAGGCTGCATGGGTTCATGGCGGGTATCCCCGGCATCTTCCAAACAAGAGAGATTTCAGCAGAGACCCCAGTGAGCAACAGGCTGCCCGAAGCCCTGTGTGTCTGTCTACCTTAGAGGTCAGGCTGCGGGAAGAGCAAGGGCTGAAGCATCCCACAGGATGCATTTGTGGAACCCCTGGAGATTTGAGCAAGCAGGGGAGGCAGAGGCCAGAAGAGGGAGCAGACCTGGAGGCTGGTCCTCAGCTGGGTCAGGGACAAGCTGGAGTAGATCCGGGAACCCTTTTCTTGATTTGCTTGTTTGTTGCTTTTGTTTTTGAGACATTGTCTCACTGTGGAGCCTTGGCTGCCTGCCTGTTCCCAGCTTTTCTCCTGCCTCAGCCTCCCGAGTGCATGGATTACAGGCATGTGCC